AGTGGATCTTTTGTTCAGTTCCTTGCTAATCCCAACTCTGCCCCCACATTCTTGGGGAGCAATCCCAAACCAGGATTTCTTTTAAACGTTAAGAGGGAGGCAGTGATTGGAAAGCAAACTTGGGAGGATGGAAGAGTCAAGAGGAAGAAAATTCTGGTTCATTTTATCATCCAGGGATTCAAATCTAGTGATTGATGACGTTATTCCTAAGTGCTGTAGAGTTGGAACCCACTTACAGCTGATCTTCCAGTGGATTATCAGAGGCAGTAGATCTCTAGGGAGTTGATTGCCCATCTTTTGGAGCAGCTGGTGGATTTGCTAAAGTCAAGGAAAGGCCCACTAGATAGCTGAGAAATTTAGAGTTGGAAATGCCTGTCTTCCAGTTCTCCCCAAAAAGGAAGCCACAAGGGAAAAGCAAAGTCGTGATTAAGGAGCACACGGGTTATGTCAGAGCATTCTCCTCTAGGGCCTCCAGATCTCTCAGGCCAGGCCCACAGACCATTTGAGAGATTAGCTGCAGCTTCTCCCTGAACCTCCTCTCCACATCTTTTTGCCAGATGGTCCATCTAACATTCTGAGGGTCCTTGGCCCTTCTGGTTCTTGCAACCTGAGCTGAAAGAACTTTGGTCCACCAATTTCCCCAGGGCTCCGCCCCTCCAGCAAGCCAAACCTGGCGCCCAGACAACCGTTTGGCCCGCAGAGAAGTGGCTCTGGGACCCTTCACTGGGCGCCTTGGCTGCGAGGTCCCTGAGTGCCTGCGCCTTCCACCCTCCCTCTGTCCGCATTAAGAAGGAGCTGATGTGTTTGCTGCTGATGGCAAGAACGCACTCCTTGACCTGTCTTTGATTTTGCTCGTTTTAAGTTACAATCTAGAATCGCAAAAAATGATAAATACTGAATGTAAATATAATTGTGGTGTGGATCCAAACCATATGCAATTGTTAATGAGGGAGAGAGAAGAAAAGAAAAACAAACAAAGTACTACCAGGATGAAACTAGCAAGGAGAAGAAAGCAACTCTCTAGGATCTTTGCCGTGAGAATTCACTTTTTTTGGAGACCCTCTTAACGCTTTCCTCCCAGCCCTCGCCACCATGCCACCATTCCTAAAGCAGAGAATGCCCAGACCCTAAAACTACAGCTTCTGGTTCCTAGCAGCTGAGGCCTGTGGTATATATACTCCAAGAAGGACCTCTGGCCCTAGGTGAAGAAGAGACAAGAGACGTTTTGCTTGCAGGCGGCCTCCTCAGTTTCAGAGGCAAAAGGGAGGCTCAAGCATGGAACATTCTGTCTGCGGCTTGCCTTGCCCTTACCCTGCGTCACGACCCTGCCCCTGATGCCACCTCCTGTCTTTCCCCCTGGGCACCAGAAAGTTCTGTCCTGTGTTAGCTTGAGCCAGCGAGAGACACTATACACCTAACTGTCTCTATTCTCACAGCAGGTTCCATTGCTGGGCCTTGAGTCTCTTTGGATGTCAAGAACGAGGCTGCCCTGGGCAGGCAGATCAACTCCGCACAGTTTGGCAGCAGTTGAGTTTCCGATGGAAAAGAGGGATTGAGAAAACGCTGCATGTAAAAAATTCACTCACTCACATACACACTATATAAATGACGTATGTATGTATATATACATATAATTGTATCATATTTGGTCGACAACTATTAAGCAAATGTGTAGCATGCCCCATCTATCTGTTTAGAGCATAAGCATCCTAGTTGGGATTGGCATGGTTGTTTGATAATATTAACACGAATGATTTTAGGAAAACGCCAGACCACACCCAGTGTGAACCCCTCAAATATAAGTGGAGACTTTAGCTCATGTTTCCCGCTGCCCGTCGTTTGCTGTCACTAACCATGCTGACTGCACGCCTCAGGACAGGGCAACTTTTCCCAAAGGGCCATCTCCCTCGAGCTGCCGGGAAAGTGGCTGAGTCTCCCGTGGGGAACAGCATGTCCCATGGGTGCCAGAACTCCCTGAACCGCTTTCATAGATCCTTGTTATCAAGAGCATTTTGGTGGGTGTTAAGAACGAAGAGAAACGTTGTATTGTGGCTGTGTAAATGAGGGTGGAGATTAAGGGAGGAGGAGAAGAGAGACAAGGGGCTTCTCCAGTTCTGGGGCGCGTGGAGGCGGCTGGCGGACTTGCGAAATTAACCTGGCAGGGCCTCGCGCAGCCTGAGAGGAGGTGCAAGAAACCACCCTTCAGTCCTTCACCTAAGAACCTCCAGCGGGAAGGGCGTATATATCCATGCAATTGAAGTTGCGTCCACTCCAGCCCTTGGCACTGGTGGCGCACGCCCGCCCCCCACGCGCGTCCCGTTCAAGAAGCTGTGCTGCTCGTCAGGCCCAGATGAGGACAGATGTTCCCCGCGGGCGAGCCCCGACCGCTGGGGAGAAGGAGCCTCAAGGCGTGGCGCAGGGCGCTGGCGGGGCTCTGGGCTCCCTGTCGGGGGTGCCATGGCCGGGAGCGGGGCGGAGGGCAAGCGGGAGAGAGAGGAGGGGGCAGTGGGTGGACTAATGATGAAAAAGTCTCCTCCGTCCTGGCTCCTTAATTAAATGCATGGAAAGAACCGAGGCGAGCACATCTGGTTTCAATCTGCAGCCCTTTGATGGCATCAAATGTTCTTTTCCCAGATCAGGGCTGGAAGTTCTGGGCTAACTATGGCCGTTTGGAGCTCAGAAACCATTTACACACACTCGGACCCTTTTTTCTCTCCATTGAAGCCTTCTTGGCTACAGGAAAGAATGGGGGAAACATTTAACAATCAAGGGTGTGTGTGTGTGTGTGTGTGTGTGTGTGTGTGTGTGTGTGTGTGTGTTTTAAGAACATAAACCGCCACAAATAAGCACTTAATATTTTACTTACTCGTCATATAGTAACTCATTTCTAATGAGACTATTAAAGCTGTTACCAGATTCCAACAGGTCATGAAAATATCGCTCAGCACCTCTTTGCCCTCTGTCAAGTAAGGGCTCAGCAAAGCAGACGACAGAGCATTATCCATAGATTTAGATGAGATTCCACTGAGTTCCCTCCACCCACCCACAAACCTCCTCATCCCCTGCACCCCGGAGGATTAGACCCTGAGACCCACTGGAGTCTTGTCCCAGGTGCCCCTGTTTAATTCCACTCTGGACAGTGGGATTCTCTTCGTTTAGCGTCCTCACTTGTGGAAGCGACCTTGGGCACGCGCACCAGAGTGGTGTGGGGGTGGGAGTAGGGGTGAGGGGAGGTGGGAATGATTATGATATTCTCATAGAGTCCTCTCCGCCCGCTAAATAAATACGTAACTATCCTACTGCCCAGGCAGGGTGAGGGTAGGAGTAAAGGAGGGGGAGATCTCTTTTGGCGGTAAAACTTCGAAAAGATTCAGTGCCTCCTGGGTCTCCCCAACTCGCCCGAGTCTGCGGGAGAAGCGTGGGAGAGCCTCCCGTTATTATCGTTCTGGTCATTTTACGACATTATTTAATAGGCTGTCTCTGCAGAGCCAAGCGTAACCTTCATATGCTGGCTTGTCCTCAGCCCCCGCCCCCACCCCAGAAACTTTTAGAACAGCAGGAAACGCTAAAAAAAGAGAGAGAAGAAAATTTGATTGCGATACTCGTGGATTTTTTTTTCCAACAAGTTCTCCCGCAGCTGTTATCAAAACATGCAAATGAGGTTTTCCAACAGAATCTTAAACAAATCTGGAGGAGTTAATGCCGAAGCAAAATAATCAGCGCGTTTGAAGTGACTGTGGGTTTCAGTTTGTCTTTTCTCCCCGTGATACTATTGGAGGGGAATGATAATTAGACCTTTACTTCCAAAATCCAAAGGGGCTCTCGCGCTCCGCTCCCTCCCTCCGCGCGCCCTCCTCCCTCTGTCGCTCGCTGGCTCCCTCCCTCTCTCTTTCTCTCTGGCTCAGATGTTGGCAAAGGGGGTTTTCTTAATCAGACTGTTTTTTTGGTCCGAGGGAAAGGAGGAAGAAGGAGATTGTGATGGAGAAAGGGGGTCTGTAAAACGTCAGGCACGGCACAAAGGCTTTGCCACGTAATTACAGGCTCCTATTAAGTCGAGATCGGCCCTCCCAGGGGTCTCCAATTTTCTTGTATTCCCTACAAAGCCTCCTCTGCATGCCAGTTTGTGCCTTTTGAAGTGCCAGAGAGCTTCTTGATCCAACTGAGAAGGAAAAAGGAGTTCAGCAAGAAGAGGGGGAGAGAGAGAGAAGGGAAAGGGGGAAACCCACCACCACCCTCCTCCGGACTCTTGAAGCCCTATTTTTTTTTTTTTTTTAATTCCTTACGAAAAGTAAAGTGAGAATCCTGCACTCCAGTACATCTGCAAGACATCACCCTCTCCTCCTGAAACCTTAGTCACTCCTGAGAATCCACAGGAGTGCCGAGAGGGGGGAACACGTTTTCTTGAAGATGTTTTAAAGCTGGAACAAGCCTTCTTCTGTTGGTGCTTGAACTCTTGCCTGGGAATAACTTTTTTAACCTTTTTTAAAAACCCACTTTGATTCTTCTCTCCCACCCCTTCTTCTCTTCTTCTGTTTGCCTAACTCCCCCGCCCTGCTGGCCTCCCCTCCCCTCTCTCCCCCTTATTATTATTTTTAGTGTGTGCGTGTGGACGCTCTTGGAGAGCTGGAAGGCATTTTTTCTCCTGACTTGAACATAGGGTGACTTCTTAATTCTGTTTTTTGGTGTGGATTATCTCTTTGGACCGCGCCGGGCTTGGCCTCAGGAAAGCCACTGAGGCTGTGGAGGCTGCTGGTGCAAAAGGCTCTGTCCTTCAGAAAGGGGGTCCCCCGCCCTGTTTTTCACTTTTTTTTTTTGCCTTCCCCTCCTCTCCTCTCTCTCCTCTCTCTTCTCTCTCTCTCCTCTCTTCCCTTCTCTTCTCTTCTCTTCTCTTCTCTTCTCTTCTCTTCTCTCTCTCTCTCTCTCTCTCTCTCCACTCCCCCCTTTCTCTTCCCCACTTGGTTCCTCTCCCCCCTCGCGCCCACAGCGTTTGGTGTTGATTCGAGCGGGAAGAGGGGGGTGGGTGGGATCGGAGGGGGAGACCATGACCTCCAGCTACGGGCACGTTCTGGAGCGGCAGCCGGCTCTGGGCGGCCGCTTGGACAGCCCGGGCAACCTCGACACCCTGCAGGCCAAAAAGAACTTCTCCGTCAGTCACCTGCTAGACCTGGAAGAAGCCAGGGACATGGTGGCGGCGCAGGCGGACGAGAGCGTGGGCGAGGCGGGCCGGAGCCTGCTCGAGTCGCCGGGGCTCACCAGCGGCAGCGACACTCCGCAGCAGGACAGTGAGTAAGGGGCGCATGCCCGCCAGGGGGTTGGGGTGGGGGTGGTACCCGAGAGCGAGGCCCGAGAGCCCGCCCGGGTCGAAGAGGAAAGTTGAGGGGGCCAGGAAAACTGACGACTCCGGGTACTGGAGGCGAGAATGAAGGAAAAGAGAAGGCTGCGCCCCCTGCGCGCAGGAAGGAGGCCGGGGAGCCGCTGCTCGGCCCCGGAGTCGGGGTCCCAAGCTTCGCCGAAGCCAACACGGCTGCCTCTCTGTCCCAGGCGAGCGCAGCTGTCGCCTCCTCCTGCGCACACAGGGGTACAGACAAGGCTGGGAAACTGGTCCCACCAGGGCGCGAACCGTAGGAGCCTGCCAATTTGGTAAGGCAGCGAGTTAAAGAGTTGAGTCAGGAGGTCGCGTGCGTGGGTCGAGGGCGCACAGGCGCCCGCACGGCAACAGGATCCCCGCAGGCACCGCTTAGCCTGCGCTCAGGGCCCAGGAGCCAAAGGCCGAGCGAAAGAGCCAAAACCCGAGCCACGCCGCCTGCGCTGCGCTCGGGCCTCCGCTGTTGTCCCCACCTGCAGTGGGGTTGAGGCACCCCAGCAGAGACAAAGCGTGATTGACTTGGGAAGCGAAGGGAGTGTACTTTAGGGGTGAATAAAACTCCATCTACTGCCTTGAATGATTCTGCCCCTTTGTAGGTGCGCAGTGGAAACAGGGGTTCAGATGTACAGTCTGGATATGAGATTCCAGGAGCTCTCGCCCTTGGCCGCTAGACTTCTGAGAAAGTTCCAGCACAGTCTCAATCTTACTGTATTTTTAAAGGTGATTTCAATTGTATCTACACATCCCTGCGTCTGTAACAGACCTATCACCTGGCTAATTCCAGTTAATATGGACTTGGGTAAATACAGATATTGCCTCCTCTCAGCGAGGCTGTGAAGTCTCAACTTGTCAGAAAGTTCTAAAGTGAAGGCTGATTACTTTCCAGGCCGTTATTTGCTAACTGCTACTTTGTCTTCAACTTAGGAACCTGTGCAACTAGGGATCACACTGGGATTCTATGATTTCCAAATCACATTGTCAACCTCAGACTTTCACTAAACAAACATACAGAACACACCACCGGACACAAAACCAAGTGAAAACAAGGCCTGCACAGAGGGAGGGGTAGAAAGCTCAGGGGACAAGGTGAAGCAGGAGTAAGGGCACCCTGTTTTCAAGAAGAGTGTCATCTGCACCTCAATGTTCTTTGTCCAGGCCTGGGAATTTTTTGGTGTTGGAACCAAAAAATTGACCAGGGCCTTATCCACAGAATGACAGAGGAGATCTGGGCTGGCCTTTTCCTAAGGAGGGCACTCAGAGAAATGTAGACCCAGAGTCTTCCAACTCTCAGTAAAGGCTTTGCTCAGGGCCCATGGCATCCTGTTTAGGGGACTGGTGCCTGCTTGGCTGCTTTTATACCAGGAGCCTACTGAACAATGTTTGCAGAGGTGCTTTGAGCACTAACAAAATGCACAACCAACATATTATGGTGATCTGTGACATTTGACTAAGGAACATTTAAAACATAAAAAGTATGGAGATTAGGAAGTTGTGAATCTCCACTTGCCTAGGATAGAGCTTCCCTGGTTGGTTGTAGCTCTTGTTTCCCATGGCTAATGGCGAGAGGTAGGCTGTACCCTCCATTCCAAAGAAACCGCTGCATGGAATATCAGGGTGGGGCAGGAAAGATATGTTGGCCTTGCTTTGTATCCCAAAGAGGCTGTGATGGGCTACAAATATTGCAGAACTGAGGAAAGACTGTGGACAACCATAGTCATTTAACTTCTAGTGGATGCTGTGAGAAGAGAGTCAGAACTTTGTTTTGGCCTCCTAGTTGGCATGGAGAGAGGCTGAGCCATGGAGGACAGCCCATGGGAGCACCCCTGTAGAGGCTTTAAAGTTGATGCATGTTGGCAGGGTGGACACTGGGGCTCCAGAGACTCTTGGGGGAACTCCAGGCCAGAGAGTGTATCTTGCTTTCTCTGGGCAGAAGAGATATCAAGGCCAGGGAGGAGTTGGGAATTAGGTGTTTAGAGAAAAAGGGATGAGATTCTGTGAATCAGCTAGTTTGATACTTGAGAGGAATTGGGAGACTCTGGGGAAGAGAAGACAAGGGAAAACAAGTGAGACTTCCAGGCAGAGACTTCAGGCAGAGAAGACCCTGAAGGGAACTGAGACTGTGGCCATTCTTTGGGCCACTAACAAGAGGAAGACCTGTGGCTGGATGATAGACAAGAAGTTCCAGGAGGAGATCATAGGCTTCAGATAGAGAGGATAGTGATGGGGACAAGTTACTGGCCTTTGCAGCTATGAAAGTTCACACACACACACACACACACACACACACACACACACACACACCCTCAGTGAGAGGTGAGATGGGATAGCCTAGTCTGCTGATAAATAATTTGCTGATTTTAGAATCTCACAGTGTTTCCTCCATATCCTTCGCCTTCTCCAGGACAAGGACAAGCCTGATAAATCTCTTGCAGTGGATCGCACTCTCAGTTCTAAGCCACTATTAACAGTCGTCCAGAAAGACGCCTGAGCTACTAGAAGTCAGGAGCAGTGGGGCTGCAGAGCCTCCACTTGCCATGAGGGCTGAGATTCCACTGTGAATCAGATGGCCCAGGGGATCTCAGTCTAGGGTACAGGAGGGGTAGAGGTAACACTTTGGAACTCTTTGCATTCTCCCTAATAGATGGAGGGACGTGAAGAACAAGGTGTTTATTCTTCCACGTAGTTGGGAGCATTTTTTAAAATCCTTGGTCTTTTGTCAGTTTTCTTTTGGGCTGAATTAGTGAAACAGCTTTCACTTATACATCAATGTTAGATCTTAACTTTGCACATTTAAAAATTATGAACTGGACAGGTTTAGGGGAAAAAAGATTAGGCAGGACCTCTAGGTGCTAACCTCACAATGTCCCTAGAAATTATTCACCCCCTTGTTTGATATTCATTCTTCATTTCTGCCCCTACAAAATGGTTTCTTAACCTTTGCACTGATTCTCCCAGTACATTTCTCAAACTTCTGGGTTAACATTAAGTTTAGTGGTGGTTTTGTTTTGGGGAGGGGAGGAGAGTGCTTTAACACTTTTAGGACTCCAATGGCTAATAGGGTAGTGTGGAGTGTGAACAGGGCGCGTGGACAGGGGTAGTCAGGCGCGTGGACAGGGGTAGTCAGAGAGCGGAAAGAAGAACAGGTCATAAAAGTCGGCAGACCAACCGTAGGCTTGGGGATCCCGCTGCCATTTATTAATCTGAATTTCTGCAAACTCTTAGTGAAGGGGGGGGGGGAATCCTGTCTTCCACGTTCCCAACTTCTAAATTAGTGAAACCAGATTGTCCTAATAAGACCTTTTGTTGGAAACACATGTAGTCATAAAAAGGTAGACGGAAAGTCAATTAGACACGCGCGCGCATACATGCACAGGCTCACAACTGGGTGCGAAGTGCACACCAGCGCAGCTGGGCCTCAGGGCCATGGCTGGACGCAAATGCAGAGCAGCGGGCGGGAAATTGATTTGTCACAAAAGGAGAGGTGTAAAGGCGGCATGAAGGACCTGCCCGCACAAACCACCCATCACACTCCATGTGACACAGCCCAGACAAGTCCTTTTCGCTCAAGCAACGCCCAGGGAAGCAAGGGTGAGGACAGGTCTTGGAATTTGCACCAGCATGTATAAAAAACAAAACAAAACAAAACAAACCCAAAAACAAAAAACCCAAGCCAGGTCCAGTTCCCTTCAGTGGACACACAGTGACCCTATAAGACAGAGTGGAAGTGCCCCAAAACTTTGTAAGACTATCCTTTATGGGAGCACACTCATGCAGCTTTGTTTTGCAAACTTTCAGTGAACTCAGACTGCCAACCTGTTGGTTAGCAGTCCAGCACAGGATACTCTAAGCCACCAGAGCACCTTTGAATAATAAAAGTTTCCTAGAATCCGCACATCTCTACTAGCGAAGACACCAGAATTTTCATCTTTAGCTCTCTTTCACACCTGGGCAATCTTTCTTGGCACCCCTAAATTTTGACCTCAATTATTTTATTTTCAGGGGAAAGAAAAAAATCGCAGGGCAAGTTGGACATTTTTCTCTTTTAGAGAGGACGGTGGATCCAGGACTAGGGAATGTCCTGAGTCCCCACTGCTTATTGTCAACAGTAGAGAAGAGTATGTGAACCATTTTTCTTTTATGTACAGAGAGGCAGGAGGCTGAGTGATCGCGTATTTTTAAGAAATTGAAGAAATGACTTCTGGCCACTTTGGGGGAGGGAAGACCTAAATTGGAAATAGGGGCCTGCAAAATCTGGGACTCCTCAGGATGCAAGTCTGTCGTGGGAGCGAGATCCTTTACCCTAGGCCGGCAGAGTGTCCCTGTCCCCATTACGTTTTTCAAGGTTGAAACCATCTCGCGCGCCTTAGACAGTCGGTGGTCTTACATTTTGTCTCTGCGACCTTCCTCAGGCCGCGCTCAGGTCACAGCGCACCAGCGGCGTCGGGCTGCAAGACGTTCACACGGGGCTCCGCAGTTTCTTAGTCTTCTCAGGGGCATCGTTTTGGATTTTACAACAAGGTGAATAAATCATCTCCCAAACCGACAACATGTCACCCTCCCCCGTGCCCAAATAGCACAACTTCAGAAGCAGAGGTGCCTTCCTCCTCCACTTCCAGATCCCATTGAATGAAAGCTCTGAGCAACCCCCAAGTTGCCTGCCAGCAACTCCAACGCCGGGACATTATTCTAAGTGCCCGCCATCGATTTTCACCTCCGAGATTCAGTTTGAATTTTGTTTTAAGGGCTATATTTCCCTTGCAATCTTCTTCCATCGGCCAGGCAAACTGCAAGACTGAAGCTCACCCAGAACCTCCCAGGAATCCTGTCGCTTCGTGGAGGAACCAGGCCCGGAGCCCTGGGGCCTTGTCCGCCTCTGTGCGCGGGACGCCTCCCGCACTCCTCCTGCCCCGGCCATGC